ACGGAGTTAAAGTTTTCTCTGATCGTGTTTCTTATCGTTTACCCAAAAACCCAATCTTGATCTTGTTTTCTTCTGACCCTTTGGAGATTTTTGTTTCCTCGAAGTTTTCAGGTTCTCTTCTTCGATTTATATTAAAAAAAATACCGTACTTGTTGCTTTTCACAGAATTTGTAGGGTTTCTCTCCTGTTTCAAATTCGTGTATTTTTTTTGGGTATTTAAAGGGTTTAATTGTTTATGTAATCTGCCGTCAATTTGAAATGTTCCAAAGTTGGGGTTTTTTTTTTTTTGTTGTGTTTGCTAATTCCTTTGAGATTGAAAAATTAGGGTTTGCTGAAACTGAATTTACGTTTTTGCAGGTTTAAAAATCTTCCCCAAAATTCGAAAGCATGGACCTTTAGATTAGAAAGGAAGCTTCTTTGTTTTCTCCAGTTGTAAGATAGGAACTTTGAATTGTTTTTAGAAGTTAATGTGATTAGTGAAACATTAATAGGGTTTAAGTAGAAGAAAGATTGAAGCTTTTGTGGAAATTATTATGGGTAATAAGCTAGGAAGGAAGAGGCAAGTGGTGGAAGAAAGGTATACAAAGCCACAAGGTTTGTATGTGAATAAAGATGTTGACATTAAAAAGCTTAGGAAACTTATTGTAGAGTCTAAGCTTGCTCCTTGTTATCCCGGAGACGATGAGAGTTGCCACGATCTTGAAGAATGCCCCATTTGCTTTCTGGTTTGTGTGTCTCTGTTATTTTGACATATTGTTTACAATGTGTGCCACCTAACAACGCCGCATTTTTCGTTACATTTTTGTAGATCTAACTCCGCCAATGTTTCTCTTGTTGTGTTTTCTAGTATTATCCTAGCCTCAATAGATCAAGATGTTGCATGAAAAGCATTTGTACTGGTACAATTATTTCATAGAACTTTTCGGCTTCTTTGTTCTTCTCTTCATGTTTTCATTTCATTTGACATGGCAATTTTGTTTTTGATTTGTTGCAGAGTGTTTTTTGCAAATGAAGAATCCTAATTCAGCTCGGCCTACTCAGTATCCTTAATCTTAATCTTAATCATGTGTGTTATCTTCAAAGGACTTGTCTTATTAAGTTTTTGGATATTTGCTTTTATGTGTCCTTCCTTAACATTATAAGGTGTCCCTTTTGTAAAACACCCAATTATGCTGTCGAGTACCGTGGAGTAAAGTCAAAGGAGGAAAAGGGCATTGAACAAGTTGTAAGACAGAAATGATCATATCACTGTAACGATTCTCTATAAGGATTTGATGGAATGCCTTCGTTCAAATGAAATATTCCGTCTCTGTATCTTTTTGCAGGAAGAGCAACGGGTTATAGAAGCCAAAATAAGGATGAGGCAGAAGGAAATGCAGGATGATGAAGAGAAAATGCAGAAACGTATGGAATCATGTTCCTCTAGCACAAGTGCAATGACTGGTGAAATGGAATACGGTTCAGCTTCAGGTCAGTTTTTATCTGCCAGAACGTGTTAAAATCTTCCGTCAGAAACAAATGGTGTCACGAAGATGGTTTTTGACAGGCTTCATTTTTTTGTCCCTTGGTTTGCAGCCATATCTTATAACTCTCCCATGGAAGACGTGGAAATTGCTTCATCGCAGAACGCTTCATTTGTTAGACAGCTTTCGCACCCTCGAGGAAACAGGTCTGTCTTTCCTCTGGCTGCTCTGTATTTTTCTTTGTCTAGTTTTTTTATGGAGTAATGTATTAGCTATTTAGTTGTAGTAAGCATGAAATTTCTTTATCACTTATGAAACACTGCAGTGTTTATAGACTTGGTCTTGTTTTGGGGAACTAAGTGCTTTGGATACAATTTCACTTAGGAATGAAGTGAGTACCATTGTGCTTCTTGTTGCAAGTGGAAGTTGTGAGTTTAAGTGTGTTATGCTACAATATCACTTAGGAACTTATCTTCACAAACATCTTTTTTCCTCGATAAATTAGCTAAATGCACATTGATGTAACTGTCATCTGAGTGATACATTACTGGACTTACTATATATGTGATTTGTATGGAAAATCTTCAGGGATAGTGAGGTTGAGGTTGACGTTGACCTCGAGGAGTTAATGGTAATGGAAGCAATATGGCTCTCCATACAGGTAATTTGTCTGTTTAGTTAGTTGTATTAACTTTGTACCTTCTGATGACTGATCTTTTTTTCAATTCTCATATGGCTTTTTCCGCTTTCTCTTACAGGAAACAGGGGTACAGAGAAATTTAGATTCCGAGGAAATGACATCTTCTAGGCAGTATGTATTAGAAGATCATAATTATGTTTCTTCGCCACCACGAGTGGCTCAAATGGTAGAACCATCAACGCCGTCTTCATCATCTGGTGGGCTTGCTTGTGCAATCGCTGCACTTGCTGAACGCCAGCAAATGGTTGGCGAATCCTCCAATCACAATCACAACCACAACGTCAATGTTTCTTCATACAGTATGCTTCCTGGCAATTGCGACAGTTACTACGACATAGAACAAGAGACAGATGACATTGACAACCACCATCATCATTACCATAACAACACCGATATGGGAGAAACAGGAAGCAGTAGCTATGTAAATTCTTACATGAACGGCGAGAGTTTCCACAACTT